ATACGCTCAGATTGCACCTGAACCGCATGTCGGTTTTTAGCGAAAACCGAGCGGATTTATGAAGAGGCCATTGGGAGTCATCATGTGAAGTTTCAACTCTTAGCACCCCCCCCCAAACAGAGTGCAAATCGACAATGGGTCAACCCTTAAAAATGTTTTTTCCGGTTTTTTAAAGCTGATCGTATTGTGTTTGTTTTGTATAGTTCTTTTTTCGTAACAAATTTAATGTTTACAATAGAGTTTAGAAAAAGTTGGCAGTGTGATATAGGCAAGAAGTAAGGCATGTAACAACATCAACACGGCAAAGGGCACTCCTCTAAAGGCAAGGAAGGCAAAAATATTTTAAGTCAAGTGATAGCGATTGCTGTATTAGTCGTACTATTTTTGAATCAAGCACGGGCAACGCCGGGCCATACTGCTAGTTCTCAATAAAATTGTATACTTTCAACTACAGATAAAATATATTATTGCTAATTTTGCTATCGATAGTTATTGTTGGTAACTTTATATAAAAATGTATTCCCCGTAATTTTTACGCTAAAAAAAAAAATGAATACCTATACTTTCATTATTTCTAAGTGCGAGTTCAGTATTTGCCCATAGCTTGGACCTCTGGGAACAATTGCAATTAAGAGGTGGTTCCACGCACCTAAAAACCTCCAGTCTTCCAGCCTTGCCGTCTGATGTGGTTTATCGTCATTCTCAGAACTACGTACAAAAGCTAGAAAGTAGAAGGAATGTATGTTGTCAGTAAAAGGGGCAGCCGAAATTCCAAATTACACACTGGAGCTGCCAAATGGAACTAAGTACAAACAATTAAATAACTAGTAAATGATTTAACAGAAGACGGAAATATGACACACAGTTTCATTACAGTGTCTTTCAAAAGTTAACAGAAGAACAAAGAAAATTTCATAGTAATATTGGTCCTCCTATATGGCAGTAAATAGTTTGACAATTGCATCAGAGATGAAGAAGAAACGTTAACAGAAATTAGTTTTTAAATAAGTTTCTACGAGCTGCTTCGCAATAAAGCAAAAAATAAAGATATAAATCCATGGGGAAAAAGGGCAGAGGAATTGTATATATCAAAGTAATGATTGAGTGATTTGTTTTTTACGGTTTACCAGCCTTTTGCAGGGTATTTAAAGCAATATTTAGATCGTAAGAATCTTCGGCAGATTATAATAATTTACTGATACACGTCTTACTAATTATCCATGGCTGAGGGGAAGATGAAGAATCATACATTTCTCAAGGGCATTTCCGCGTAAGTGAATATAAAGAACCCAACTGGAACTGAAACTCGATTTTCAATTTCAAATTCAGAATCGTTCCCCATTACTCCACCCGCACGTCCAAGTGTACAGCACCTGGAATTTCCAAGCGGCCAGCCATCTTGACGCTGATCAGAGCCAATATTGCTTAACTTCAGTAATCTTATTGGAACTGTTGTTTCAAAGAGATATTGACGGAAGATAAGACCGGAGAGTAAGTGAATGGCAAAATGGAAAAAAATGTAATGCTCTTCGTTCTTCAAAGGTTGAACATCAGACTAAAATAATGACCTTAATAATCTAAGGATATACATTTGTAGGGTTCAGTGTGAGACATTAGAAACAAAAATGCCCTTTAAAATAGTCCATAGAGAGGAACGCGGAGGATGAAGAAAAGCTAATCTTAAAATGTATATTTTAAAAAATTATTGCGTTCTATGTAGAGTCTAGACGAATTCATTCAGCTTATCAACACTTCTCTGACTATTTATAACTTTTGTTTTTAGACATCCAACAGTGTGATATATAACTTTTGTTTTTAGACATCCAACAGTGTGATATATATATATATATATATATATATATATATATATATATATATATATATATATATATATATATATATATATATATATAAAAAGACATTTTATGTTTAACGTTCTTTTTTATAGATACAAGTATTTAAATAAATGCTCTGTTTATAATAAACAGTATTAAATAACATTTACCGGCCTGAATGTCCGAGAAATTTTCATAGAAATTATTCGTCCTTTGACAGGATTTGAACCTGCATCCTATACGTGCCTTACCAGTCGGCCACAAAGGAGCGTTCGGTAGGCAAGGTCGAATTTACTGCTTATAAACTTCAATCTTCCATGAATCTTGTACATTCATAGCTGCTTTGGCGTATCAAATGTAAACAAATGACGTCATATATTAAGAAAAGGACAAGGTCCGACAATTTATTTTATTAAAGACATTTTTATGTTTAACGTTCTTTTTTTTTTTTTATGACAATTTCTCGGACATTCAGGCCGGTAAATGTTATTTAATACTGTTTATTATAAACAGAGCATTTACTTAAATACTTGTATCTATAAAAAAGAACGTTAAACATAAAAATGTCTTGTATATATATATATATATATATATATATATAATAATATATATACATACTTATAGTTGATGTGAAAATAACTCTACATACTGTAAGGGATTCAATACATTTACTTGTTCTCAAAAGAAATATAGTATATTAAAAATTAAAAGTGAAAATATTTTTCAAATTGTAGTTAAATAAAACGTATTCTAACCTAAACACCCCCCAAAAAATCTTTAAATATACAAATAGAAAAAATGCCGTAAGAATTTTTGCCATTAGCAATAAAATTAAAAAAAAATCTAGACGACATGCATTAAACGGATGTCAGATTTCATTGAAAAATACATCCCTACCCCCTACCAAAATGTAACTA